ATAAACGGGATGACATTCCTAACTTCAAAACACCGTGATCTTCGGTCTGGCAAAAATGTAAGGCAAGGCAAGAGGTTCTCTATTTGTTCAAATACCTAGTACCAGAGTAAGGTGATATTTCAGATATCATAATGGGTAGCTCTATGAACACTAAGTTTAGGAGATAATGTTCTTTCGAATCACATCATCAAGATGAGTTGTCAGGCTTTACCCTAGCTTACAAGCTTATTGTTGCTCCGCTTTATCACTCACCATCCCAAAGTTAGTTTACTTTGGATATTTGACCAGACCAAGACACGGCTAACGGAATAGGACGACAGATGCAGCAGTAAAAGTGTTCGCCAACAAGAATAAATTCTCAAATAAAGGAAAAATATTTAAAACCTGACCGGGGCAAAAGGTTTAAGTTATGAATAGGACATGTCCCCATTCTAGCTCGACAAAACACAATAGGTGACTATTCAACGCCATCAGCATTTGCAGCACCCTCAAAGTTGGTCAGAGGAGAAGTGACATAGGCAACTTCAGTAACAACAGTATTTTCCTCATTTTGCGGCCCATCAAAAACAAAAAAATATTTATTTCGCTCTAACAGGGCGAGTGTCGATGCATCAACTAAGATAGCCTTGGTTGTAATTATGCACGGTATCCTTTTAGTAATGTCGTCCCATCTCCGCAATTTCCTCCTCATTCTGCTAAAAAGATTCTACTCGGATTTTCTCGGCTCCACTCACTTCCTCTTGGGCCACGTCTAAGTCTGACTGAAGAATAGATCTGTCAGCATCCAACGAACTCCGTTCCAACGCCAACAACCTTTCCACCTCGCCTAAGCATGCCTTTAGGGCTTCCCTCTCAACACTCTAGGCTTGCTTCGCATCCAAAAGGGCCCCAAGCCTAGCGCATTTTTCCTGCGAGTCCCGTTCAGACTTGATCCTACCACACAACACACTTTTGTAAATAGCTTGAAGCTTGGAATTTTCGTATGCTCTGGTAACGTTTTAGTTTAACCTTTTGCCTAAAGAAAGGTGTACAGAGGCAAGCATAAGAGGAAAACAAGCAAGCAGCAAGCAATATGAGAAATAAGAAAGTTAGGAAAGCTAACTGCGTATCTACTCTGGAAGCATTTCTTTTAAAGGTTTTCCATAGACACAATCCCCTTAAAATCAGCATGAGAGATAACAGAGTAAATCAAAACCCAAGCATGCCCCACCTCACGAAGACTGCTTGAGTCCAAAGGAAACAGCACCGACCCAATAATAGGCTTGATCACCAACCAGGACACTTTACTAGATACCCCTCCATTAGCACCATGAAGAATTGATGACTCTTTTGGCACTTGATTGCAGGGAGGTGCAGTCGTAAAGTCAAAGGCTAGAGACGATGAAGGTTGCGGCTGGCTTTTCAAAAACTCTCGCTTCGGCACTAACGCTACATCTTTCTCCACCAGGGACTACAAGAACTTACTGCAAATTCTCATTGGCCTAAAAAGTGTAGTCACGGTTTTAGGCACAATATCTTAATCACCTCCAAAGCTGCTTGCTAGTTTGATAATCTTTTTAGGGTCCTTGGCAAAAATCTTCTTCGGAGTCACTTCTTCTTTTCTTCTTTTTCTCTGTCTTAGATGCACTTTTTGTACGCTTTGGTGGCTTCATAGCGTCCTTACCTGCAACCTATACGGGGTTAAGGATAGGATCGTTGGAATAAAGGTAGATGATATCAGCCCTTTTATGCGCTCTCTCTTTTTAGCACACTGAGCCACTTCCAATCCGATGTGGACTAAGAATGATGTGGAAAGCTTTATCGATAAATTTGGAACAACACATGCCGAGAATCTGATCAACAATTTTTCTTTTAGGCTTGTTGGGAACTTTTAGTTCATATACATCACCCTCACAGTTCCCCTTCACCAAAAGAATGTATCTATTCTAGTCTATATCCTGACCTGGCAGATCAGCAATGTAAGTGGAGCATCGAAGCCTAGACCGAGATTGAAAATAATACCATGTTTCAACATTTTTTTGAAGTGTGTAAATAATGAGGAATTCACACAAACCCAACTTAGAATGAAACCACTTGTTCATACGCTCAAAACAGAAGATGATGCATATGGACGTTGGAGTAAGGTTGCAAAGGCCGATTTGGAAATGCATGAGCATATCTTCCCATAACTGCGACAAAGGAGATCTTAGCCTTGAATCTAGAAAATGGGGATCAATTCTGGTACAAGGACGATAAGGATCTGAGGGTGTAGGGACATCGTCAATGACTTTATCAATATCTTCCCACCAGACACGACAGCTGTTAAGGAGATAACTACGCCCCGCAAGAAAGGCTTATTCTTTTCTTTTGTTATGGACGTAGACCATGGAAGGTTCGGGATTAGCAGGAGTAGCAAGTTGAGCAGATAAGCTGGCGGCCATGATTTTTCCAAAATTAGAGAAAAATGACAACGACAAAAATAAAATCGAAGAAGAAAACTATACAACTCTTTGTGCAAGAAAGGAAATTTAGGGATTCAGTGAGAGACTAAGAGCAATGGTATGACATATATTTAAAGAAGGCATTTCAAATCATCCTATCATTGAATACAGACCAATTCGCTTTAGAATCGACGAGTCCGATTATTGTGCCTTAAGGATAGGATATCGAAGATAGTTTCTCATTTTTTGTGCACACCCAATGGGCGCAATGCATCATCATCACAGGGTATGAGGCATGAAGTTCAAGGTTATTCATTTGGATCCAAAACGCCGCCACTTCAAAATCAAAAGTTGCATCGTTTACAAAGAATTTGAAAACCAAACAGTACATATTTCAGCTTAGTCTGAAATACATGGTCTTTGGATAAAAATCCATCTTCGAGGGGGAATAGGTTGCCTCTCAGACAAATAGTTAGGGGTAATTGTGGAACCATGATTTTTCAGGGTCAAAGTAAGGCTAATCTGAATACAGTTACCTTAGAAGTCTGGTCATGCACTCACCAGCTCCGGGTTGAGCTATATCAGACGAAGTTTCATCACTCTACTTCAGGGCACTAGGCGAAGTCTTAGCGACTCCGTTGGATGACCATGCTTGTTCTGCAAGACATGTGACCTGATTTGGATGTGGACACAATAAGATCCTATAAGTCTTAGAGTTCCTACAATCTAGGAATTGGCGTGTGCTGCAAGAAATCATAACTTCTAAAAGGATGCAATATCTACTTTAAATATCCACTAGGATTCTCTCGACTTAGAACAAGGATTTTATCATAAAAAGGTATCTCACCCCACAATATAAATAAGCCTATCAAGGTTTCATCTATGGTAACGCAAGCTAAACACTTGAATTCTCTTGCCCAATGCTTGTGTCTAAAATCATTTACTAATTTGATCGTCAGTGAGCCTCTGACTGGCACAACCCCCCTCCTCGGCCCTAGGCTTGCTTACGGTTGTTTTACTATTTTACAGGTTACTTGGATTTGAGCTTGACTACCGGGTGTGCAAATTTGATTCCATCACTGTAAACTTAGGAGACTACTAATGCATTGCAGAAGAAACAAGCAAATTCATGTACAAAAGAAAAATAATGCACTTCGTGCTCTAAAACCACTAGCTTCAAATAATCTGACAAATGCAATCCTCAATAGAATCTTCTTCTAATACAAGTATTAAAGATTCTCAATCATCAAGTTGATATTCAATCAATAAGTAGCTATCCATGGAAAGCACCATTAAACATCTATAAAAACATATAGAGCAAAATATTTTCCAATTTCTGCAAGACTATAAAAATCGTTTAATTATTTCCATGAGAGCAAGGGAGGTTAATAACTGCTGAGTATTCCGGAATAAACTTGAGTCTCAATCAGGAATAACTCATCTAATATCTACTAGGAACACCTCATTTCATACCTACTCTGAACAACTCATCTCAAACACTTTCTTGCCTCTTTCACTTCAGCTATCTAATTTCCACTAAATAAAACATTTCCATCCATCTATTATTCATTTCCAGTTTTTGTATGTCCATACATGCACACATGTGTGTATATTATATATCAATGTGCATGTGTGTGTTGATAAAGCTATTCATAAAAGAAAGGTCAGGTTTTTTTAGTTATCTTGCTCGGCTGCTCCTTATGTCTCACACCCGTCTATCAACCCATCTAAGAGTGTACATAGCTAATAGCTCATCAACAATTGATACCATTCATAACACCAGCATTACTTACGCACCCTTGAAGTACAAACAAAGAGATAATCACTACACTAAACCGTATGTGTGCATAGACACCTCTAATAGGAAATAAAATTAGACAAGTAGTACATGTTTGCTAGGAGTATAACACGTATTCCAAATTGATCAATAGAGACCACACAAACTTTGCCGCTCAAACAAGTGTTGATTAAGGAAGAGCATAACAGCTAAGCGCATTCAAAGCAAAAACACATGTGTATGTCAAATTTAGGTCTACAATATGTATCTTATTCTCCTTAACTACCAAAGAACAAAATCTTGTGAACTAAGCACCAAAAGAAGAAACTGTGTCTAACCATTTCCAATTTAAGAAAACTACATTTGGTTTTATAATTATGCTTTATTCATCCATCTTACAATTGACCCCTATATACGTTTACGACTACACATAGCAGCTAAAATGGTACAACTTTTTTCCGACAACTCATTGACTTCACGAAAATAACTAAAACATGATAGCATGATACAATTTTGTTTTCCTTTCACCTTCTCAGATCTATCATTATTATACCTTCTATGTTGAAGATGCTCACAACACTTTCTGTGTTCGAGATGTCCAGAGTAGTCATAAATCTTCCAAAACTTTACCAAAAATCTAACACACACCAGCCTCATCCCATCCATCCATGCAAGTAGGATAATCAAATTCTCTATTATCAAGTCAAACACCAACTCATTGACATTAACAATGTGTACATTGCACAATTAAAAATCAAAACACTTGAAACTCATAAAGATTTCACCTTTGGAGGTTCAAGAACCTAGTAAGATTCCCAGGACACCGAGTTCATCCATAATCCAGGAATCAGATCCTGCAAAACAAAAACAAAAACTACATCAAATACCAAGCCATTCCAAACCCTTATAATGATAATGGAACTGAAAACTTTCCAAACTTAACCAAAACCCAAACTTAATTTGAATAATACAACATCAAGCTATTTTTGCACATTCTTGTTTCTCTTCTTTGGGCGCCTTGAAGACCTTTGCCCAATCATGATAAAAAAAAGTCTTCTTTAATCTCCTATCTCGTTAACTTGATTGATATCTTCAGTTTGTTATCCTTCTTATGAGCACTCTTCATTTTCCCTCTAGCTTTGGAGAGCCTTGCATATTGGGTTTTTTACTCTGGCGGTGGAGGTGCACCAGTTTTCAATACACCAGTGCGGCCATTGGCCTTAGTCACCGATATCCTGTGCCGGAGGTTCCATGTCTTTTGCATCCCCTTTTCCAACTACTCTGCCGCAGCTTCTGAAGCCAAAGAAGGAAGAGGATAGCTCTTTTTGAGCCTCTGGTTTAGGTCTCCTCTTAGCAGCAGTGACAACCTTCTCTTTGATTTTCAAACGGAAGTAAACCTTCGATTTTTTCTCAGTCACAACCAGTTTCGGCTTCTAGATCTCCCTAGCACCGTCGGTCACTTCTATGGCGGGAACTGGGTCAGCCCCATTTTCGACATTGGAGGACTAGGGACCAGATTTTCAACTTCCAAGTGAAGCTCAGCTAGTTTTTTGTTGTTGTTGCTCAATTGCTGACATGGGTTATCGTTTTGGGTGGTGATATAGTCGCATTTTGGTTCATTTCAACTGGGACAGAGGAATGAGGGACTTGGAAAACACAGGGGTTGCCATAAAAACGGGTCTCGGGTCAGACTAGGGTCTGGTTTATGGTTAAGAATGACCTGAATTGAAAAACATGAAATTGGTTGGGATTGGGTTGGACTAGACAGTATTGAAGTAGCTCTCACTGGGACTGAGAGAGATGGTTGGTGGTGGTTTTAAGGGTTATGCATTGGGAAGATTTATAGAGGAGAGAGTGGGAGGGGGAAGAAAGAAGAAGAGAGAGAACAACTCTGTTTTCCAGAGAAATGAAAGGCAGTTTTGATACTACTCATTCTGGTAAAAGGCACACATGGTTTCTTGTTTGTTTTTGTGTCATGCCTATCATGCCCTTTCAAAGTTTTGCATTTATTGTCAAAATAAATTGTTTTTTTTTTTTTTTTTTTAACAAAGAACAAATAAAAACATCATTTTTCTCTATGTTCTTAACCCTTGTTTTGTTTTACCTAGTGGTTGTTTGTATGAAACTATATAGACATTTTTTTTGGTAAAAAGAAGAAAAATATACATTTTCAAACAGCACTTTGGGGATAAAAAGGTAAAAAGGAAAAGAAAATGTGCTATTTTTGCAAACAAAATAAATTTTGGGAAAAAGAAAAGGATAAAGTTAGACTTTTTTTACCTGTTCATTGAAGGGCGATGACTCGTGTGCGCCATGCAATAAATAGGTGGACAAATGTGAGGCATTCATTGGCTCCCACCTGGCGCCGTTATGGGGTTTCCATTTACGGTTTTGCAAATCTGTTTTTTGCGGTGGGAAGCTATTTTCAGATTCGTCCTCTTCAAGGCCCAAAAAGTACCTTAAATATTTCCTTACGCAGTCAAATTGTCCATGTCAATATAAAGAGTTTGCCTTCTCTGTCTTGAGCACACCTAAAATCTAGCAATTTTTAAGAAATGGGATTTTCCCTTGGGGTTTTTTTTATGCAGGTTGAATGTTATATAGCACTTAATTATGTGTGTGCATAGACGTTTGTAATAAGAAAGAAAATTACACAGATAATGCGTGTTTGCTAGAAGTATAACATATATTTCAAATCAATCAATAGATACCACACAAACTTTGCCGCTCAAACAAGTGTTGATTAAGGAAGAGCATAAGGGCTAAGCGCATTCAAAGCAAAAACACATGTGCATTTCAAAATTAGGTCTACGATATATATCTCATTCTCCTTAACTACTAACGAACAAAATCTTGTGAACTAAGCGCGAAAAGAAGAAACTGACTCAAACCATTTCCAGTTTAAGGAAAAACTACATTTGGTTCTATTATTTTGCTTTATTCATCCATCTTGCGACTAACCCATATACATGTTTACGACTACACATAACAACTACAATGGTACAGCTCTTCCCGACAACTCATTGACTTCACGAAAAGAACTAAAACATGATAACATGATACAACTGTGTTTTCCTTTCACCTTCTCAGATCTATCATTGTTATACCTTCTGTGTTGAAGATGTTCATAGCACCTTCTGTGTTCGAGATGTTTAGAGCGATAACAAGTCTTCCAAAAGTTCACCAAAAATTTAACTAACACCAACCTCATTCCATCCAACCATGCAAGCAGGATAATCACAGTCTCTGTTATCAAGTCAAACGCCAACTCATTGACATTAATAATGTGTACTTTGCACAACAACAAATCCAAACACTCGAAATCGATAAAGATTTCACCTTTGGAGTTTCAGGAACCTGGTAGGATTCCCGGGACACTGAGTTCATCCACAATCCAGGAAACAGATTCTGCAAAACAAAACACAAAAACTAAATCAAATACCAAGAAATTTCAAACCCTAATAATCATAACGGAAACTTAACCAAAATTTAAATTTAATTTGAATAATACAGACATCAAGTTGTTTCTGCACATTCTTGTTTCTCTTCTTTGGGCGCCTGGATGGCCTTTGCCCAGTCATGATAAAAAGGTCCTCTTCAATCTCCTCTCTCGTTAACTCGATCGATATTTTTGGTTTGTTATCCTTGTTCTGAGCACTCTTCCCTTTCCCTCCAGCTTTGGAAGACCCTGCACCAATAGACTCTTGGGTTTTTTTCTCCGGCGGTGGTGGTGCACCGGTTTTCAATGCACCAGTGCGGCCATTAGCCTTAGTCACCGGTCTCCTGGGCCGGAGGTTCCATGTCTTTTGCACCCCCTCTTCCAACTCCTCCACCGCTGCTTCCGCAGCCAGAGAAGCAAGAGAGAGCTCTTTTTTAGCCTTCGGCTTAGGTTCATTCTCAGCAGCAGCGACAATCTTCTCTTTGATTTTCAGACGGATGCAAAGGTTTGATTTTTTCTCAGTCGCAGTTGGTTTCGGCTTCTGGATCTCCCCAGCACCTTCGGTCACTTCTGTGGAGGGAACTGGGTCGGCCCTATTTTTGACATTGGAAGACTTGGGACCAGACTTCTCTGCTTCCAAGTGAAGCTCGGCTAGTTTTTTTTTGTTGCTGCTCAATTGCTGACATGGGTTATCGTTTTGGGTGGTGGTCTCGTCATTTTTGGTCCATTTCAACTGGGATAGAGGAAGGAGAGACTTAGAAGTCACATTGGTGGCCATAGAATTGGATTTCGCGTCTGACTGGGGTCTAGTTTCTAGTTGAGAAAGGCCTGATTTGAAAACCATGAAATGGATGAGAATGGATAGGACTGGAGTAGCTCTCACTAGGACTGAGGGAGAAGACAAGAGGGAGAGATGGTTGGTGGTGGTTTCAGGGTTTATGCATTGGGATGAATTTATAAGGGAGAAAGGGGGATGTGGGAAGAAGGAAGAAGAGGAAAAACGGCTCCTATTTTCAGATAAAGGAAGGGCATTTATGATACTACCGATACTGGAAAAAGGCAAACATGGTTTCTTGTTTGTTTTTTTGTGTCATGCCTATAATGCCCTATCAAAGTTTTGCATTTATTGCCAAAATAAATTGTTTCTTTTTTAACTAGGAAAAAAATAAAAATTCATTCTTGCCTATGTTTTTAACCGTTGATTTTTTACCTAGGAGTTGTTTGTATGAAACTATATAGACATTGTTTGTAAAAAAGAAGAAAAATATATTGAAATAGAGAGAAAGGGAACTAGTATTTTTCTTTTTCGTTGGAAGGGAACTAGTTGAGAACTAAGGGAACGAGGATGAAAGCGACAAACTAAGAGATGATAGAAGTTCGGAAGAAGTTAATTTGTAAGTGAAAATCCGAAGCAGCAAATCTTTCTATTTTAGTTCATCTTAAGATTACGTAATACACGATTCTTTCGAGATTCTCACTGAAAAACGTCATGCAGTCCGCCGCCTTTTTAAAAATATTTCCATTCATACGAAGTCGTTATACATAATTACGCAGTGTAGCAGTTACCCTAATGTTCGTTAGGAATTAGTTACTATGTCATTGAGATTAACTAGTAATTTGAAGATAAACGCTCATTTGTAAACTCAATTTAGTTTTTATGTAATTTTTATAGTGCGGTTTTTATTTCAATCGAGGAAATAATAATTAAAACTATAATCTCATTTGCAACACAATTAAAAAATAATTTTTTATAATGCACTTATTTTCAAGGTTTGTCAATCACTGCAACTATACACTCTACTTGAACACAGGGGTTTATAAATTCTCAATCACAAGAAATAAAAATATAACTCTTTACTAAATGGATGTGCATTGTATTGTTTACCTCAAACTATTAATTTTTTTTCAGAAAGCAATGGTTATTCCTTTCATTTTTTTACTAATAACCCGACGACGATTTTACCTTGTTGAATTGTTTCTTTTTTTTTTTGTTGGAAAATTATTAAAATGAAATACAAAATAGTCAATAGTGTGAAATCACATTGCCCTTGAGACTAAATTTTTTTCTCCACATTAAATTTCATATCTGCAAATACTAGGTAATAGAAATTAATTCAGAATCTAGATGGTTTTTGCACCAAATCATGTATGCAAAAATCATCCATTTTTGGACAACACTTGGGAGCATGTTCTTGTTCATTGCATGCTCACTTGTCACGAACACAAATGGAAATGTGGTAAAAGAAGTAACCATTTAATTTTTTTTTCACTTTGAGGATAGAAAGGTAAAGAGGGAAAGAAAATGTGCTAGTTTTGTAAATAATATCAATTTGGGGAAAAAGAAAAGGATCGAGTTTGACTTTTTTGGCTGGTTCCTTGAAGGGAGAAGACTCGTGGGCGCCATGCAAAAAATAGGTGGACAAATGTGAGGCATGCAGCGGGTCCCACCTGGCGCCGCTATGGGGTTTCTATTTTATGGTTTTGGAAATCTGTATTCCATGGTGGGAAACTATTTTCAGATTCGTCATCTTCAAGGACCAAAAACAGTGTACCTTAAATATTTCATTATGCAGTCAAATTGTCCATGTTAATATAAAGAGTTTGCCTTCTAAGTCTTGGGCCCACCTAAGATTTGATAATTTTTAAGAAATGGGATTTTTCGAAGTAATTTTTTTTTTTTTTTAATAAACGATATTACCTACACAAAAGGAAGATGATGTGCTTAACCTTACAATGGATTAGCAATAATATAGTTCAAATTCGTCTTTGACAAAAATCTAACCTACGACCTATCAATTACAAGTAAAGAGTAATACTATTATAACATATTACTAAGTGACTTTTTAATGATTTTTTAAAGCTGCTTGAATGCTATGTTTATTTTATAATTGTTAGATTTATTACTAGATTTATTTCTTACGGTGCTTTTATTGCTAGATTTATTTCATAATTTTAGATTTTTTTTTTCATTCTTAGATGAGATTTTTTTTCCAATCTCATTCATTTATATTTGTACCACCAAATGTTACGTATCATTCAAAAAATTAAAGTTTTTTTTAGACTTTTTGTTATCTCAAAAAGGGTTTTTTTTATTAAACTAAGAATTTTTTTGTGATTTACCACCCACTTTTTGGGATAGGGGCACCAATCTAGTAACTTTATTTGGGGCTACAATTATGTTTAGTGTGACATCAAAAAGAGGTGATAACGGATTTCTCACTTTGCTGATTTATCCTTTGAATGCCATGTGCAGAGCCCTCAAGGTTAAAAGGCCCAAATTTTGTTTTGAAGCACAAGCTTAAAATAAGAGTATGGGTCTCCAATATGCACCCAAATTGTCTTTTACTTTCTTTTATACGACAGGGAGGGGATTCAAATACAGAACCTCGAATGCATGAGTGAACACTCTTGTAGCCACTTTCATATACTCAACTTTGAATATTCAAACTTCACGTTTGTGTGCATTTCTTTACTCAAGTATCCTAAATGCTTCAACATGAATGCCTCGAGAATCATAGTCAAATTCATGAAACATAATTTACCCAAGCACATCAGCCGGATAAATCATAGCCTACTACTCATGTCTGTTTATGCAGGCTTGTGTTCGTATGTTAAACACCTTCCTTGCAGCCTCCTCAGAAACCTTCCAACTTCCTTGTCAATTTTAGACTTGAGATCGACTTAAAGAGCTGTTTGGAACCTCTTTTGACGACGAAAGCAGACCAGTTTCGAGCTTCTGTCAATGGGAACTGCACTTTAAGAAGCAACCACCAGCATTTTAAAGGTACAAAAGACCATTGATTAAGAAGTCATAGGGAGCTTCTTTCTACTTCTGGGATTGGCTTGAACTGCTCCCGCTGAAGGCTGACATCAACAACTGCAGCCCTCTTACTCATGTCTGTTTATGCAGGCTTGTGTTCGTATGTTAAACACCTTCCTTGCAGCCTCCTCAGAAACCTTCCAACTTCCTTGTCAATTTTAGACTAGAGATCGACTTAAAGAGCTGTTTGGAACCTCTTTTGACGATGAAAGCAGACCAGTTTCGAGCTTCTGTCAATGGGAACTGCACTTTAAGAAGCAACCACCAGCATTTTAAAGTTACAAAAGACCATTGATTACGAAGCCATAGGGAGCTTCTTTCTACTTCTGGGATTCGCTTGAACTGCTCCCGCTGAAGGCTGACCTCAACAACTGCAGCCCTCTTAATATTGAATAAACATGTTCAACAAAAAAATAAAAATCATTTACTGAACATCATGGCAATTGTCATATGTGCAAGGTAAAACAAAAACTTACTTTCAATAATGAGTCAGTATCACTTCTCTGGCTCCTCTACGTTAAGATTGTTACTGAAGGATTACGATAGAGAAAAGATCAACCACCAACACAGTGGCTGAGAAGCAGAAACTATTTAAGTCATCGTCACTTGAAAATCTGATGAAAATGAAAAATCTACAAATCTCACACAAAGGGTCAATGACAGAGGGTTAAAATAAACCTTGAGAAATTCCTAATTTTATCATTACGGTGTTGGAATTCCAAATCCACAGGTAAGAATCATACCATACATAATTCATTTGTACAAGATGTAGTCTATGTTATAGATGTCCCCGCACAAGTTTTAAAAGATCTTCTGTATGAGAAACGCTCAAACCAATGCTTTGGAGCAGCTGGGTGAATTCCAAAAGCCCGTGCTACAAATTGCTTTTCACTAGTAGCAATCATGGTGGCAATAGAGTAGCTTTCAGAATGCAAACCCTTCTCTTTAAGCCACACATAAAATCTATATCTGGGCTTGATCCGGTTTTCTAAGTTGAAACACAAAAATGCAGGAAAAATATTGAGGTACTCCAAAGAGGATTTCATTTCCTCACAAAGAAAGTTAACTTTCTCTTCCAAAGATTCTGGATTCTGATTCAGGATCTTTGGTGTCGTGCTTATCATCAGACAAAGACTTGAGAAATCAATGCCCGTAGAAAAAAGGCTATCAAACCGCTTTTGCAACTCACCGCTTCTGCCATGCAAGTGGGCTAAGACCTTTAGGGTCAAGGGGTTCTCTCCAAACCCAATGCTATGCATGAAGTCCAATTTTCTCATTGTATGAATGGGAGTTGTCGTAGATTGAATCCTCTCCAATCCTTCACCAAATTCTCTCGCAATGTCTTCATCAAGATCACTTATTACATAATTTTCTAACAATTGAGGTTCATTCTTAATCTTAACGAAGAACCATTCATGAAGATCCAGAGCCCTTATTACATGTGGTAAATTAGCCATTTTATTTTTTCCCATCACATGAGGGTATTTTTCAATCACAGCCTCTATTTCTTTCACGTTCAATCCGAAAAATTCCAACAATCCCAATGCTGATATATTTGGTGTTTCCAGATCAAAATTTAAAACCTCAGGACTCTGAAGAAGGAACAAACCTACATCTTCCTTCCTAACACCAAATCTACAAAAGTACTTAGATTTCTGGCACAAAACCTCTGCTGGACATGTAAGAAAAACATCTTTCTTCCTCCCCATCAGTTCCCCTATCTTCCCTTTCTCGCAACCCAAATCGCAAAACACCCTAACTTTCTTACAAACATCATACCAAGCATCCACATTTCCTTCAACACAGTACTCCATATCAAACTCCACAAGAACCCTTTTGAAATCATCAAACAATGCCATATCACCACCCGGCTCACCCTCCACCGCCAGCAAATAAGGAAAAGCCAAGCACATTCCCACAACTGAATGATTACTAAACCCACATTCCTTCAACCTACTAAGCCTAGCCTTCAACACCTCGGAACTCTCACTAAAAATGGAAATCTCCTCCTCGTACAACTTCCCTAACATATTCCAAGGAAACCCAAATCTAGAAAGTTCAGTAGCAACATTCAAAAGGGTCCCATCCTCAGAGAAAAAGTACTTGTTGGGAGGTAAAAAGTCACAAACTTGATTGTAATCTATGCCAATGCTTTCAAAGAAAAACTCAAATTCATTGATGGGGTGGTACCTGAGGAGCCTCTTGAAGCGGTTCGAGAATTTCGGGACCGAAAACTCGATCTTTTTTATGAGATTGGTGAGGGAAAAGAGGCAGTTCTTGCTGATGTGCTCGGCGGAGGGGAAGGACAAGGATCTGGTTGCGTGGAGGTAGTCGGTGAGGGCCTGCTGGGCTTGCTTGATGGTTTCCGACTTGTATCTGGTGGGGACATTGGAGAGTTTGGGAAACCTTACGGCGGAGGCGGTTTTCGTGGCGGTGGAGAAGTGGTGGGAAAGGCGGAGGGTGTAGATGCATTTGGGGAGGGACATGGTCAAAATAGGGTTTTCCAGAAAAATACGACCGAGGACTAAGGAGTTGAGTATAAAAACGCCAAACGGCGAAACTGGTAATTTCCATTTCACAAACGGATGGCAAAGTTTCGTTTGGGAATATATTTATCGGCAGTAATCACAAAAATTAATCATATTTGTAACTGCAAATTAATCTTCGAAAATTATCCATAACTATACTCATCGAATAACGAATTCTCATCGGTTTATAATTATATATTCGTTCAATTGACGCATTATAATATAATAGATACTAATTTCGTCATTATAATGTAATAGATACATTAATAATGTTAGTTAATCTTTGATCTGTCTCATAAGCATCATTGAACTCTTATTGGTTTTTGATTTAAAACTTTTGAACTTTCTCACAAAAGTTTAATTAAAAACTTAAATAAGAGTCCTATAACTAGCAAGGCTCTGATACCAAATACACACACACACACTAGTCTTCATCACACGCTCACGCTCATGCAGAAGACATTTTTTGAATAACGGCGTACTACGTGCAACTTACACGTTTTAAATGTATTTATATGCATAAATTGACAAAAAGAAAGTCAAATGTTTGAAGTAAATGAATAATCTTAGATCATACTAGAAGAAACCAAGCAACTGAATTTAAATAATAAAATCGGTCTCTAATGGATTTATATTAAGAATAGAGAAAACAATATTTAATAAACAACTGATTGACTCACATTATTGCTAGACCATTATGAGGCTAAGCCGGTGCCCTTCCCCTTTAGTGTAGATAATAACATTTGTTAAAAATAAAAACAATCATTTGACAACTAATTTAATTACATTATTATACTCATGTGAATAACCTTTTTTATAACCTGCATTACACATCTCTTAAGATGTTTTGAATGTGTTTAAAAATAGAGAAAATAATATTTAATAAACAACTAATTGAATCACATTATTACTAGTATATTGTGAGGTACTAATTATATATATATATATATATATATATAAAAAGTGTACAAAAAAAAATTTAATTATTAAAAAAATAATGTTAAAAATGATGAAAATATCCTACCACATTTGATGCTTTATTTTGGACTGCTTTTGAAGTTTTTTGTTTGAGAGATATTTTTGTCCACTTTTTTTTGCTGAAGCTTGTGACCCCAAAAGGGGTTGTTGGCTTTATATATAAAGATATGTAAGGCTAAGCCCACCCTGACACATCCCTGACCCAGAATGTCTACTAGGACTCCGAATCGAGTTGTGTTGGGTGATAACTGGAAGGTGACGAAGCCATATAGTATAGTGATGTGGAAAATGTGAATAAATTTAAACCTAAAGTGCCTAAAGACAAGAGTGCATTGTGAGCGAGAATGAACCCATTTCACACGCGACGTTAGAGCATAAGTAAAGTACAGTTGTGTGGGTAAGGATCATATCCTCAGAGGTAGCCATCTATACTGAGATTCGTCAAGAATCCTCATCGATACAAACTTTTAGTAGCTACAACCTGGAGGGGCGAAAAAAACAAGGGTGAGTGAGCCTGAAAATAAAGTTTTAATAAAAACCTTCTGAAAACGTTATAACCCTTCACTGTAAAACCCGTATAATTTCCCAAAACATAATAATACATACGTATATAGAAATCAGGCTTAAGAGCAATGAAAACCAAAGTATGTGCCATGTCAAGTATCTTAATAATAAATATGTAAGCCAGGTGCTGTGAATCAATATAAAATAATATGTCAACCGGAGTCACCTAACGTGATCTGTACGGCTAAACTTATAGCTCATTAACCTAATTCCTACACATGAGTCAGGAACCACCTAATGTGGTCTGTACGACAGTTTGTGTGTAAATAAGCACGCTCAAGTGTTATGATCACGTGAAGGCTGTGCAATAATTGCGGGTCACCTATGAGTTGAACCACCTTATGTTGTTTATACGACAGGGCTGTGCACCAAACTTGGATTCAAGGTGAGCGTGCGGTGCAGGGAGGTGAACATCACATGAAGGACTATGTCCTGGCCACGAGCGAGATCACTAACATTGAGGTGCAGGATAATGAGCTCTACATGCCTCTATGTATAACCATAACCAATGCAACCACTAACATCATACAATACTCACATGAAACTTACCTGCCCTCCGCAGCATCATACAATAGTATGCATATACATACTAATCCATATAATAAAATGAATTGCAAGCATGACATGGCATTTAAAAGCATATGCTCATTTCACAACAGTTTTTGGGAAAATGTAAAGCATATATATGTGTGTGTGTGTGTGTGTGTGTATAGAAAACCAAAAGCCCACTCACCTCTAGTCTGCGCTACAACTTCATAGCACAAATATCGAGACGTCACGAACAATCGGCGCCTAGAACAATTATCAAACCACAGTCTTAGAAGCCTTATTAATAGAACAATAACTTGTATAAAACACATTCCCAAGGACGTTCTAGAATGATTTGAGACCCATTGACCAAAAGTCAACCGTCGGTCAAAGATCGACAATAGAGTCTACAACCCTACGTAACTCGATCCAAAAGATCCGCATCTCAGATTTTCGATCCGTAACTTCCAAAGATCCACAATATGCTTCTAAAACATCATACTAAAGTTTCGTTACGATCCCACGGTTGGATCTCTGCCAATTACAATTTCAAGTGGCGGTTAACATTTTATTTTATGAATTTACATATCCAATTTGGGAAGATCCGTACGTCGGATCCTTGATCCATAAGTTCCTATGGTCCTCAAATATTACGTACTATAATGTATTAAAGTTTAGTGATGATCCACCAGTTAGATCGTAGATTGCTATACTATTCAAGTGGCGGACCTTAATGAATTTTCACCGGATTCTACAGATTTTGCAGATTTCCTGGGCAATCTTTAGAACTCCATATCTCACTTGTTTCTCAACCAAATTTGACCCATAATATATCAAATCGAAGCTAGAGAAGTGTAGAACAAAATTATATCTGCTTTGAGTCTAAATGGTCGCCAGAGATAGCCATAAAATGGCCTGAAAGACAGCTGTCCGCGGGAAAACAGGGAAATTCGTCAGAATTTCTGGGCAACATTTCAACGTCCATAACTTTGTCAATACTCAATGAAATCACATGATTTAAAAAAGAAAATCATAGTTCTCGATGAGATGAAGAGATCTTGCATGATGGCTATCTCACCGTTGTTTGGCTGAAAAATGCCTCGAAAGTGGCGGAGGTCGCCGAAAACTGGGCAAACTTTAAATCATTATAACTTTCTCATTTCTCCACCAAATTAAACGATCCAAACATGAAAATTCATCTACTCAATGAGAGGAATTGATCTATACCTGTTTAGAGTTCAAAATATGGCTGGAAATTATTTGAATCACGCCTAGAAGTTTCTGCAAGATTAGTTTAATACATAACTGATTCACTAAAACCAAATAACCACTAACCTGAAGAAACCATGTTGGCTAAACACGAGATAGGCTTCTTCTACAACTCATCAATCTCAGAATGCAATGGCTCAATACATGTGGGGCGTGATCTCTTTTATTGCGTATCAATTGAGAGTGCAAGGACCCTATATTTATACCTTATGCCATGGTGTTCAACTAAGAGACTTCCCATAATGTTAGTCCTAATTGAACTCAATCTTATCATGCAATACCAAGTATCCATATCAGTTAATATAACATTAGTATAGTTTATCAGGATTGTTTAGCTACATTCCTTATTGTTCACACCTTTTGGTAGCTTACAAACAAAGTCATACTCGAACTCTATAACCTCAAACCTTAGATACATATATTAACAAGTGTGCAGCTCTCATGAGACTTACATTCTCCCACTAGAGCCAACACTTGTTAATCATAGTAATACTGAAGAGAGATTAGACTTAAGTGGCCATGAGTTTAGAGTTGAACATAAACCTAAAAATCCAGTTTCTGTCATTGCAAAGTATTCATAAAGAACTATAAGGAACTACATGAAACCATAACTTCATGAAACCATACCATACATGAAACTCCAACAAGACATGGAAATATGTAAATGTGACTGTACATATATTTAAACACATTTAACATGTGGTCCTCCTTATGACTACCAACGTAGGCTTTCTTCATGATTCATAAGAAACTACAATGGTTGTTGATCTTTAAACAATAACTCATATTGCTATTCATGTATTAAAACATATCATTATAACTAATGATGTATGCTTTAAGGGAACTTTGAACAACCAACAACAATGTCTTTATTAGTTATAAATATAACCTTATTCTCAATGCATAAATGTAAACATGTTTAACTAGAACATAATAAACTGAACAAACACTACTCCCACTATTGCATAAACCTGCTAGCACACCCATTTTAGCAACATGCCCCTTGAACACTGCAGCTGGCAGTGGTTTATTCAAAGGATCTGCAATCATAGAACTAGTTGCCAAGTAATCAATCTTAACAAGTCCTGCCATTACCTTTTCTCGAGCAATGAGATATTTAATCTCCAAATTCCTTGTTGCAGTTGACCTCTTGTTGTTCTTAGAGAAAAAGATGGCTGCATTGTTATCGCAGAATATCTGAATAGGCCTTTGAATTGAGTCTACCACTCTCAATCCCATAATAAAATTTTTCATCTATATTGCCTGATTGACTGTTTCACAACATGACTAATATTTAGCTACCATAGTTGAGGCTGCAACTATATCTTGTTTAGAACTTTCCCACGACACATCTCCTCATGCCATAGTGAAGACAAAACTTGAAGTTGATTTCAAATCATCAGGACATCCTGCAAAGTTAGCATCACTATAACCCTCCAAAACCAAATGTTCAATTTTCTTGTAAATGAGCATGTGAGATTTGGTTCTCTGAAGTATCTCATAACCTTTTCCCCGCATTCCAATGTGCTTTTTCAGGGTTGGACTAAAATCTCCTTAGAACACTAATGGAAAATGCAAGGTCAAGCCTTGTATAGACATGAACATACATCAAACTTCCCACCAATGAAGCATATGGTTTGTCCTTCATGTTCTCCCTTTCAATCTCATTTTTTGGACTTTGTTCTTTTCTCAG